TCTTTGGGTCCCCTTTTGCCCTGATTTTTTTTTTACATTTCCCAGAGGCATATTTTTTCATCAGGTCAGTATACCCCCTACTCCTTTTTCATAAGGGTATATAGGGTCTGGTTTCTATATAGTCAGTTTGGCTGGAAGATCTATGGAGAAAAGTACAGACAGTGTTCAGCTCTGTTGTTGTTTTTATTGAGGTAGAATTGACATACAGTGTTATATTAGTTTGGGGTGTACAACATAGTGATTGGACAATTCTGTACATGACTTGGTGTTCACCATGATAGTGTAGTTACCATCTGTCACCATACAACGTTATTACAATATTATTGACTATAGTCCCTGTGCTTTACCTTTTTTAGTTTTCATCTCCATGACTTATTCATTTTAGAACTGAAAATTTGTACATCTTAATCCCCTTCATGTATTTTGTCCATTCCCCTAACGCCTCCCTTCTGGCAACCACTATTTTGTTCTCTGTATTTATGATTCTCTTTGTTTTTTGTTTGTTTTGTTTTTTAGATTCCCTATGTAAGTGAAATATTGCACTCATCTTTAAGATGTCTGACTTACTTCACTTAGCATAATACCCTCTAGGTCCATCCATGTTGTCACAGATGTCAGGATCTCATTCTTTTTATGGCAAAGTAATATTCCATTGTGTGTTTGTGTGTGTGTTTGTGTGTGTGTGTGTGTACACACACACCACATCTTCTTTATCCATTCATCTGTCAACAGACACTGGGCTGCTTCTGTATCTTGTCTACTTGTAAATAATGCAGTAGACATAGTGGTGTGTGTAGCTTTTTGAATGAGTGTTTTTGTTTTCCGTGGGCAAATACCCAGTAATAGAATTACTGGATCATATGGTAGTTCTATTTTTAAGTTTTTGAGGAAACTCCGTACTGTTTTCCACAGTGGCTGCACCAATTTATATCCCCACCAACAACGCATGAGGGTTCTCTTTTCTCCACGTCCTTCCTGACCATCGTTGTTTCTTGTCTTTTTGATACTACACTTAATGTGAGTCTCCCTTTATAGGGCATACACATGTACAGGTCCCATTTTGTGTCCTCACCATACTAGAGATGGCAGCTGTATGGGACTCACTTAGCTCTCCTTACATTACCTTTTAGCAGCATTAATAACAGCTGTTTGTAGAGTTGTTATGAAACAACTTGTTTTGGGATGGCATCATCTCCAATAAAGAAGAATGTGTATTCACTTCTCTATCAGGAACCATAGCTCATACAGAACAGAGTAAAAATAGCAGCTACTGTTCTGTCCAGTTATTCCGATGCCTCTGAAAGCCTACCTTGAAAAAATGCCCCCCCAAAACAAGAGAGAGAGAGGAAAAGGGCCAGCTTGTAGCTAATAAACACTCACCACAGAGAACATTTATCCCAAGTGTTTGAGTGCCACACGTAGGTAATGCAACTTTGCTGGTCAGTCAGACTAGTTTTATACAAGCGGGAGGGGACCAGCTGCCAGATTGTGCTCTTTTCCACATTTGGTTGGTTGGTTGGTTGGTTGGTTGGTTGGTGGTTGGATGGGAGCCCCATGTGGTTACCCACCAACCCCTGCCTGGGTTACTGATTGTGTCTCAGAGGGAGAGACTCTGGCAGGTAGACAGAAGCTCGTATCAATGCTGTGCTGCCCATGGGCCCACACATCCATAGCCTATGTTCGGTGGGTTGTTTGCCTTTGTCAATATCCTCAAGGGATGTGAAGCCCAGCACTAGCTTTGGATGGGGGAAGTATATCTCATGGGTCAGAATTGCATGTGAAGGACTTTAAATAGCTTCTCTTTCCTCCTTCTAGTCTAAACACAGGAATGGGAAATTGTGGACACCAAAGGGTTGCATATTTAAATACAGCTGGACTATTTTTGCACAATGGTGAAGAAATGGTTTTTTGTGTCATGTTTTATATCTTTGCCATTTTGACCATTTTTATTTTAGCTCTTCCATCTGTGAGCTCTAATAGCTCCTATTATGTATATAATTCATATAGAGGTCCCTGGATTCCACTTTGGAGTGTGATTATTGCTGTACATTTCTCTCTCATACACTATACCCTCCCTGAAGGCCAGCTTGGGAGCTAAAGCACATCTTAATTTGTCACACTGCCTAAGCTGAGCTGAACACAGTTCAGCACTGAGGAATTGCCTGAAATGAATGAACAAAAACATTCCTACTACATCAAGACTGGTCTACTTGTGAAAATGCTATGCTGAGATGTTGTCAAGAAGGGATATGTATTGCACCTGAAATATCGGAAGCTAGATGCTCAGTGGGAATTTGGTTGACTTGGAGTATTACGATTTAACATTATATTCCTTTGGAAGTTATGAATAATTCAGAGCACATAGGGGATACCTTTTATCTTCTCTGGGTTGTTGATTTGCGTGTGGTTATTGTGCTTAATAAAATATGAAAAAGAGGACAGAGAGCTCATCTGAATGTCAGCTCAACATTTTATGGTTATTGTTTTAGGAACTATTACATTACCTTAAAATGCTAGACCCAGTAGCCCATTGAGGTAAAATATTAGGAGTATATCGAAACAACTTATAAATTTCCTTGATATCTTCTAAAATATTGTGATATAATAAGATTCTCTGCTTCCTAAAAATATATAAATAAGGCCTCTACAGCATAAAATGGTGATGAGTTGAGACTTAAGTTGCCCTCTGATCAGCCAAATAACTCCCAGGAATAAATAACAGGAGAAACCAGCTTTAGAACATGTGTATGAATTGTCTGGCTTTAGAATTATAGAGCCATTTCTAGGCATAAGGAAAATGACATTGAAAAATGGTTGCCAAGTCATTTGTATTGTTTGTATATCTGTACAGCCAAAAATTGCGACACAACACTCCCTTATTTTTTAACTACTACATGTTTCAGCGCTTGTCACCATGGATTTATGGTGAAAATACAAAGCAATAGTTTTCAAACTTACTCATCTCAGGATCCCTTTACATTCTTAAAAACCAGGGAGAATCACAGAATATTTTCTTACATGGCTTATATTTATGAATATTTGCCATCTTAGAAATTGAAACCAAGGAAAATTTAAAGTCATTATTAGTTCACTTGGAAATAACAATAATAAATGCACTGCATTGTAACCTAAAAATAATAACTATGTTTCCCCTAAACAATAGAATTTAGTAAGAAGAGTGGCATTGTTTGACTTTTGGCATATCTCTCTAATGTCTGCCTTAATAGAAGGCAGATAAAACATATCAGTATCATCTAGGAAAACTCCACTGTGGACTCTTGAGAAAATGAGATTCATAAAGATGAATAATGTCTTAGTATTATTATGAAAATGGTTTTGATTCTGTGGGCCTTGTTGCAAAGCCTATGAGCAACCTAGGGGTCATCTGCCCACATTTTGAAAACTGAGTAATTAGTTGAATACAAAGTAATTAGTTGAATCAGGATATTCTTGGACATAAAAACGCTGAATCCAACTAAGAATCTGTTCTCTGTGCCAAGGTGTTGGCAGTCTGTGGTGAGAAAGTGTCTTGTTCTGCCTAACCAAGCTGATGGGATCCTTTGGACAGACTTTCAGCCTTCTCTCTGTATAAGGGACAAAACCTAGCCTCCTGTCTGCTTAAGGTGGTGCAAAGCCTCTACTTACCCGCTCTCGTCTTCTTCGCACACTTACTTCTATACTTTCCTCCCATTGCTGTGTTTTGGAAAGCTCCCATGATTCACCTAGTTCCCTTACCAGTGACTACCGACATATTCTGCTTTGTGTGACACCTTTGCTCAACCTAGGGAACCTGGTATACTGTTCACCACCATGCACTAAAATAAGAAGGTGAGCTCTTGAACAAACAGAACCCTAGGAAGACCCAATACTTTGACCGTTAGAGAATTTAGAAAAGGGGAAGTTCCAAGTGCTTTGTGCTGTTGACTGAATCCTCAACCCACATGCACGAGGGCAAGTTTCCACTAGGCTTACAAACTGAAGGTGCTCTGTCTGGGAAGGACAACTGCCAACTTTGGGGACAAAGAGTCTCCTGTTTAGACCAAGACTATGTAAGTTCTAGAAGACCGGACCTGGAGCAGTGCTACAGAGGGAGACCTTGAGCTGCCTCTAGTTAAAACTGTTAACATCCTAAGCACTTGCCTACACGTTGACTGTGATACCTGCTTATTCCTGCCTCTTTACTGACTCCAGCCTGTGACACAACCCCCAGCCTGACTCCCCCACATGGCCCTCCACCCCTCATCAGTGTTCATATTAAACTCTTCCCCTTATGAATGAACAGTTTCCTTCCTCATTGCCTGGCATTGATCCCTGCTGTGTAACCACAAATTCACCTGGAACCTAGCTATACCATCAGTTAGGGCTGAACCATTGGAACTGGAGTAAGCAGTGCAGTGTGACAAAGGGGTTGAGACCAGAGAGAGGAGAGGAGAACGATCAATCAGTACAAAGGATTCCTGTCCATCTTCTGCTTTTCTTCTTGAACACTCCTGACACAGTTTGTGAAGAGCAGTCTACTCATGAGTCACTTGTTTACTGTGGGATTTCATTCCCCTCCCTTTAAGGAAACTATGAGGGAAGTAGAGCTGAGTTAATTTTCCTTTAATCTGGCCCCCTTCTGCTTTTCCCAGCAGGCTTTATCCCTATCAGCAGGCCCAGATATTTCCATCAAGGTATCTCTTTGTCAGCAGCCTCAGATAGAGTTAACCTGACATGTCAAGGTTAACACAGATGCTGTGTGCTTTCTTTCTGAAATATTATGCTGAAACCTGAATGCAGGACGATTAGGTTACTCTACCAAATAGAATACACACTACAAAATATCCAGAATTATTACAATGCCACAAGTAAAGACAAGAAGACATAGTAGTATATGATCTTTTTCATTTATGCATCCAATCATTTACAAATATTTTTTGAGTGCTGTTATGTGCCAGACATTGATACATCTGTAAACAAAACACAACAAAACAAAAGATTCTTACTGTCATTGTACTTACATTCTAGCCAGTAACCACTCATCATTTGTCCAAAATTTTGGATGAAATAAATCTTTTCCCTAGATTCCCAGTGGTCATATTGGTTGATGTAGTTTCTTGTTTGCTGTTGGGTAGGTGTCCAAGAAGCTGAGGTGAGTGAGGAAAACAGTGCTTGTTCTTTTCAGTGACATAAGACATACTAGTCTAAAAGGAAATCATTTACAGATTAACTAATTTATTTGGTAACCAATGTAATATCTGGTCACTCAACAACTTGCCAGATTTGAAATGGTTGTTCCAATCTTTTGTTAGGAGCACTGAAAAATAGTGTACTCTGACCTAAAAAAACAACTTCCCAGATAGTCAATATTTGCTGTATGCTTGAAAATACTGCTTATTCTTGCATTATTGGGTGCAGTATTCCATATATGTCCATTACATCTGTGCTGCCCAATTTTATATATCATAACTCGTTGTGTTGCTTAATATTTCATTTATGAAATAAGATTTGTCAGAAGTTTCTGACTGTGATAGAGGAGTTGTCAGTTTCTCCTTATGGTTTTGCTCTATATATTTTGAGACTGTATTGTTAGGTGCATACAAATTTAAACTTATTTTTCCTTCCAGGTGAACTATAACTTTTATACACATTTTGTGACCCTTTCTTATTTCTAGTTATGCTTATTGCCTTAAAATCTATCCATTTGGTATTAATAGAGGTACACTGGATTTCTTTTTTTAGCATTTACCTTGTATTTGTTTTTCCTCCTTTTACTTTTAAGTTTTCTGTTCTTACCTTTTAGATGTGTTTCTTATAAACATAATTTGCTCAATCTTTAAAATTATGTATGATCATATTTTTAAATTAGGGATATAGTTCATACATTTATTATGATTAATATAAATATATTAATATAATTAATAGATATTTATATAATATAAATATAATGTTAAAATATTCTATTTTAAACCATTTTATATTATATTTGGCATTTGTCCTAGCTTTTTGTGCTTTCCTGCCTTTTTTTGATTTTTCTTTTTCTGTTTATTGCATTTCCCTCCTAATCTGAATTTACAATCTTTTTTTTTTTCAAAGATTTTGTTTTTAAGTAATCTCTACACTCAATGTGGGACTTGAACTAACAACCCCAAGATCAAGAATTGCACACTCTACCAGCTGAGGCAGCCAGGCACCCCGGAATTTATAATATTTATGACCTTCATTACCCTAGTATTTTAACATGAATACTTAACAGAGTTCTATGTTAATAATATTTTTCTTCTTCTCACAAAACACAGGAAACTTAGATTGATTTATTACGTAAGTGCTATTGTTATCCAGCATTTTAGTTCCATCTTTTTGGTACCCTCAATTAGTCACTATTATAGTTGTTTGATAAAGCACAGTATCTTTTCTACCATTTCTTCTTGCCTCTCAGAATTCCCATCTGAAATAATTTACTTTTTTTCTGAATGAAGTCATTTAGAATTTAGTTTAGTGGGAGTTTGCTAATGGAAATTCCTTCACCTGAAATATCTCTATTTTATCTTAAATCTTAAAAAATATTTTTATGGGGTATATGGTTCTAGGATGATGATCAAGTTCCCTCAGGACTTTGAAATTATTATTTTCCTGTCATCTGGCTTCTATGTTATGTTTGCAAAGTCTGGAGCCAATCCAGTTGCTATTCCTTCTTTAGGTGGTCGATATTTTTTCTGTCTGGCTGCATTTAAGATCATCTCTTTGTCTTTGGTAATCTCCAATTTCATGGCAATTGTCCGTAGGAGTAGATACATTTATATTTGTTCTGCTTAGGGTTATTGGGTGTCCTGAATCTACAGAGTCATGTTTCTCATAAACTTTGGAAATTTTTCTTTTGAATATTTCCTGTTCCCCATTCTCTCCAATATCTCTTACTAGAACTCCAGTTTGATATGTATTATATCTCTGTTAGATTGCACTCTGTCTTCTGTCTCTCAGATTCCCTCTTATATTTTCCATCTTTTTGTCTCTCTATTTTGCAATCTGGGCAATTTCTTCAGCTCTGTCTTAAACTTTACTGATTCTTGCTTACTTATGTCTCACCTTAATTTTAACAAGTCTATTGAGATTTAATTTATTTTATTTTATTCTTATTCTTTTTTTTCCTTTGTCAAAATTTCAAACTTACTTGGTCTTTAAACAGAAAACAATTTCTCATTTCTTTTATTTCTAAGCCTCCTGTTTATATCTTTAAACATATAAAACATACTTATTTTATGATTTATCTATGATCTTTCCAATATCTAAAATCACTGTGGACCTGATTTCTCTCTCTATTGTTTCTGCAGGATCTTGTTCGTAGTGTTCTTTTTGCACATTTTGTGAATTCTGACTGGATTTCTATAACTAGGAACTTGATCTGTAAAAATTTTTGACACCTAGGTTAAGGTTATTTTCCTCTAAAGAGGCTTTGCATTTTTTCTGCTATGTACCTGAGTACTTTCAACCTGAAGTCATTTTAAATTCTCTCATATGGATTTTCAAACCACACGGGTAGAATTTGGGCCTGAAGCCTGTGTAAAGACCATCTTGTGGTTTTGACTATTTGGGGGAGACTATTTTTCTCCTTGAGGTTGAAAAGTCAAATTCCTTCCTGTCTCTTCTGTGTGAGCAGGTTTGCTTCTTATTCCCATTTATGCTGAACATAACCCTCCTCTGAGATCCAGGCTTTATGCAAGGGTCTCATATGTGATTCTCCACCATGGATAGGGTTTATCTCTTCTTTCTGCCTCTTGCCACACAACATCCTATCAAAGTTTACGGTCACCAGGGTCTGCCTCCTGGGAAAACCTAACTTTAGCTCACTTACTCCCAGGACCCCTACTTCCACTCTGTGTTTGGCCTGTACACACTTATCAGCTCAGCAACAATTCAGATGGTTTCTATTCTTTTATCTTTCATTTTTAGTTGACTTGATTAGGAGGTTGTCCAGGGTATCTGGAAGTAGAACCACATGCTTAATTAGTTAGTAAATAGTCCGTAGGCTAGAACATTTGAAGGTCAAGAGACCCCATCTTGGTTCTAGCGATGCCACCCTCTCTGTTCAGCTCCTCAACGACGGATGGCATTGGATAGGCCCCATTCTTCTTCTTTGTCCTTTCTAGTTCAACAAACACCCCCAACTAGCACTTTAGTGAGAGGAGCTATGCACATACCAACAAGTGTGGTTATAGCAAATGCTGATGCTTCAGATCCTTCCACATGATGATTCTTGTGAGGAGTTGGCCCTTCCCATTTTTGCCTCTGAGTTGAGCTGTGTGGCCTTTAGTGGCACCTTGGACTTTGGAAGAACCAAGTCCTGTATCATTCAGGCCCGAGATCAATGACTCTCGACCTCTTTGTCACTGCTATTTTGGCAGCGTTCTCCCTGGTGAGTCCGGATGTCCACTGCCCCAGGCATCCTGTTGCCTTCTTTCAACCCCATGCCCTAAGGAAGGGACCAGCAAACTACAGCCTGTGGGTTGCATCTCACCCATGCCTGATTTTGTAAACAAAGTTTTATTGGAACACAGCCATGCCCATTTGTATTTCTTTGACTGCTTTCATACCACAATAACCCATTAGCAAAACTGAAAGTATTTACTATCTGTCCCTTTACAGAAAGAGTTTGCCAGCTCTGCTCTGTGGCCCTATACTAGGCTGCTCACCCCTCCTTTAGCTCTTCCCTACAGCATCCTGTATCCACACATTTCCTCCTCATTACCCACACTCATAACCTTGACAGCTCCAGCCTTGTGCCACTGGCAGCTCCCTCCTTACCTCAGCCTGGTCAGCATTTGACCTTTGAAGCATAGAAATGCATCTCTGCATGTTAAAAGGCAATTAATAACTTGCCCTAGGAAGCCCTCAGTTAATTAAGTTAGACACTTATAGTGTCCCTGATCCATTAGGAACCTTCCTCCACCCTGGAGTAGGTCTTCAATGCCAGACTTTTTGGGTAAAGACAGGTATCTTGACATGTTCATGGCAAATACACATTTCAAGAGGCAGACTTGAAAATAAATAAACAATAAACATTTTAGTGAAGTTAAAACAATAAGCATTGTTTATAAAACAATAAACATTTTAGTGAAGTTAAATAGCACTTAATGGCATCAGAGGAGCTCTCCTTTTAAAGCAATATCTTTAAGAGTGAAGAGTTAATTTCTACTGAAAACAGCCACAATCAAGCATGTCTGTCTCTCAGAAGAGGCACATCAATATGCTTTCTCTGACTGAAAGAACACAGTCTTGTGATCAGGAGTGTGGACTATGGATCCAGACTGCTTAGGTGGCTTTCCCCACTCTGCCATTAACTAAGTAGTGATCATGGGAAAGATACTTAGTTTCTCCATGCCTCAGTTTCCTCATGTGGATAAAGGGGCCGTAGGGTTACCAACAAGATCCAATGAGATAAAATATTTTAAAGTACCTAGAACGGTGCCTGGAGCCTAAGAAACCTTCATGTTATTTAATCTTTCTTCTTTCCTCATCTGTAAAGTGGAAATCAAAGCAACAAACTTTTATTTTGTTTGGGGAGTAACCACGATGGATTTAAAGTACCAAAACAGGACACTGTAGGAGCCAAATAAATGGTAGAGAGATGCCATTTTCTGGGGTTTTACTAATATTTGTTCCAGATTTCCCTTTCCCCAATGAGGTTTTCTATGAATTCCTTTTTTAAAAGAAATGGTTGCTGGAAACATCTAGAAGCTAGTGGCCATCCTCAGGATGGTGGGCTTTCAATGACTGCTTTAGGCTCATTCTGTTGCTAAACACTAGATGAGAAGTCCAGTGAGATTTGTGAGTGTTCTCTTGTCTACCAACTCTTCTTACTCCTGTACTCAGCCACCACTTCCAGGAAGCCTTACCTGATCCCTAATCTCCTTGGTGCTTCTGTGGATTCATGTAACGACTTTATCTGTCCATATAGGGAAAGGGATGGAGTTATTCATCTGCATATCTGTTGTGACTGACAGACTACATTCCAGGAGGTACCAAAGACCTACTGGTTCAGTACATAAAATAAATTAATGAAGAGAGGCACTTGGGTAGCTTGGTTGGTTAAATGTCCAACTGTGGGTCTCAGGGTCATGAGTTCAGGCCCCACACTGGGCTCCACACTGGGTGTGGAGCCTACTTAAGAGA